AGCAATGAGCTGCTTAGTATCTCCGGTAGGCATGATCAACCCCAGGCCAGGAGCTTCTTTGATATGCCTCACTACCCTTAAGGTTGCTTCCATGTGAGATACTTTAGGAGAGTGCATGTATTGAGTTAATAAATATACTGAAAAAGCAATATCAAGTCTGGTCATAGTTAGATACAATAGTCTCCCCACCAATATCTGATAGCTGCTAGGATCTTCAAGTTGCTTATCCCCACTTGATTCCTTGTGTTTGAGACACTCATCATACTTCACTGATATAAGTATTTGGTTAAATTCTAGTGGAGTACCAGCTGGCTTAGCTCCTCCTAGGCCTACCTCAGCAATCAGCTCAAGAGCATTCTTTCTTTGATACATAAAGATGCCTTTATTTGATCTTGCAAATTCAATGCCCAGGACGAACTTTAACTCCCCAAGATCTTTCATCTTGAACCTCTGCTGCACTTTGCACCTAGTGTCATTGATCAGACTTTGATTATTTCCAGTAACAATTAGATCTTCCACATACACCAGAATTATTACTACACCACCTGCAACCTTCTTGGTGAATAGGGAATAGTCATAAAGACCTTTTTCAAATTCCATAAACACCAGAGCTTCAGTAAGTTTCAAATTCCACTGCATAGGAGCCTATTTGAGACCATACAGATATTTGTATAGTTTGCAGACCTTCTGATTCTCCCCCTATATAGTAAACCCTTCAGGAATGACCATATAGACTTCCTCTAGGAGATCACCATTGAGGAAGGCATCATGCACATTCATTTGATACAGAAGCCACTGCTTTGAAGCTGCAAGGGAAATAATATATCTAATTGTCACCATCTTAGCTACTGGTGAAAACGTTTCACTATAATTCAAGCCTTTCCTTTGGCTATAGCCTTTGGCTACCTGTCTGGCCTTAAACCTCTTTATCTCCTCGAAAGCTTTATACTTAATCTTGAATATCCATCTGCATCCAATAGGCTTCTTTCTAGGAGGCAGATCCACAATACTCCAGGTGTGGTTGTCTTCTAATGCTTCTATCTCAAGTTTCATGGCATCCACCCTGCAACCACATAGGAGGTCTACTGGTTCTAGAGGACTTTCTGAGTTCTTGTGTACTTAGAGAATCAACTACAGGAGCTTCACTTGTAGTTGGAATTTCAGTTATGTTTGGAAGATGTAGGTGATCAGATACACTGTCATCTTCTGAGACTGCTGGAGAGGGTTGTATCACATTGTGAGGAGCTATAGTAGAGGTAATTGAGTTGTCAAGAGCAGAAGGAACAAAATCCAAGATAGGAAACAAGGGATTGCTGACTTGTTTAATGTGCTTAAAGGGATAGATGTCTTCTCGAAATGTAACATTCTTGTTGACTATGAAGGTCTTCGAGGATAGATCATACAGGATATATCCTTTCTGAATGGATGAATACCCCATGAGAACTGCTAGTATCGCTCTTGGTGAAGACTTGTCATGCACTTTAGGACAGGATGCATAACACAAGCACCCAAAGACTCTTAAGTTAGTGAAGGAGGATGCAAATAAAGCATCTCAAAACAAGTCTTGTACCAAATTACCCTAGAATAAAGTCGATTAATAAGATAGACAACTGTAGTGACAAACTCACCCTAGAATCTTAGAGGAATAGAAGCTTGAAACCTGAGAGACCTTGCCATCTCTAGTATTGTTATGTGCTTTCCTTTCACAAATCCATTCTATTGTGGAGTGTATACACAAGAACTGTGATGCATGATCCCAGGAGTGGTTAAGAAAAATGTGAGTTCATTGCTAAAGAACTCACTTCCATTATTAGTTCTCAAGTATTTTACAATAGTAGAGAACAAATTTTTTGCTATAACTAAGAAGTCTTCAACACTACTACAACTTCCGACATAGAGTTAATAAGAAATATCCAAGTATATCTAGAGTAGTCACAACTAGAGTGACGAAAATTCTCTTCCCATCATAAGTTGGCACCTAGTAGGTTCCCCAAATATCACAATGCACCAATTTAAACACAGACTTAGTAGTTGAATTACTTAGAGGAAAAAACAGTTTGGATTGTTTAGCTAAGGGACACACAGAACAATGTTCATGAGTACATGCCTTCACAACACTCATTTCATTGAGTCTTTTTATTATATTTATAGGAGCATGGCTAAATCTCTTATGCCACAGATTACTAGTTGAGCAGGAACTAGAATTATCAATAGTACTAGAGCTAGAACAAGGCTCAGAACCAGAAGAAACATCAACTGTATGGAGACATCTTCCAGCAGACTGTGTTGAGGAGTTTTGAAGCCCTTCTCCTTGTAGAATATACAGTCCATGATTCTTCTACCAATCACATTCACCTGACATCTGTAAAGATCCTGAAAAATACACAAGTCATGGAAGAAGGCAACAAAGTAATGAAGCTCGTTGGTGAGTTGAGACACTGACAACAAGTTGTACTTAAAGTCTGGTATGTACATCATATTAGATATACTGTGATCTTTTAGAACAGTAGCTTCCCATTTATGAGTGACAGACACCATCTCCCCATTTGGTAAGTAAATTGTATTTTTATTTGCTTTGTTAATTGAACTGTGTGAATTAAACATGTCAATTCTAGAGATCATATGATTTGAGGCACCAGTGTCTATGATTTAGTTCTTATTGACAAATCTTGTAATTAAGGCAATTAGAGTACCTGTTGCAACCAATCTACTAGATGATCCTGGAGCTTCCTCATTCCCCATTGATAATAGTTGAAGAATCTGCTAAAACTGTTCTTTAGTAAAGAAAGCACGAGTTTAATTAGACTAAGGAGGACATCAAAAATTAGGAATCTATTGATGTGGATAGGCGATTGGCTGCTATGGATAAACACAAGAATATCCTCATTTGTTTTTTGTTGATAGGAAGCATTGGTTTGAGTGAGTGCACAATGTGGTTGAGTGTTCCTGCGGGTAGTATTCCCTCGAGTAAAGTCTACACCAGAGGCACCATTGACATACAGACCATAGGTAGATGCAGCTCCTTTCCTTTTGGTCTTGAAGTCAGGTGGATGCCCTATGAGTTTGTAGCAATTCTCCTTAGTATGTCCCTTGCAATGGAAGTATTAACATTTGACCTGACTTTATTTGAACTTATAGTTACCACCTGAAGCTCCATTCCCTTTATTGCTATAAAATGTTGTACTTTCTATCCCTTCAGTAACTAGCATAGAATTCTGACAGGCTGCAAGTCTTCTCTGACTTTCTTGATCAACAAGTAGAGAATATGATTTGTTGATACTAGGCACATGAGACATCATCATAATTTGGCTTCTCGCTTGAGCATAGGTTTTATTCAAGCTCACCAGAAACTGGAGTAATCTATGAGCTTCAAAATGTTGAGAATATTTCTTAGATTCAGTACAAGGGCAACCAGGATAAGGCATGAGTGCATCAAATTCATCCCACAGATCTTTAAGTTTAGAAAAATAATCAGCAATTGTCATAATTCCTTGGGTCAAACTATGAATTTCTCTGTGAAGATATAGAACTCTAGAACCATTGAATTTATCAAATCTTTCTTTGAGATCATCCCAAACCCTATGAGCATTAGAAGCATACAGAACATTAATCAATAGGCCTGGTCTAACAGAGTTCATGATCCATGAAAGAACAACAACATTAACCTTTTCTCACTGGTCATGTAATTCAGGTTCAAACCTAGTTTTAGAAAATGAACCATCAACAAAGCCCAATTTGCTCTTACCTAAAAGACCAATCCTTATAGCACGACTCCATAAGGCATAATTGTCGGATCCAATAAGCTTAAGAGATATCAATGTACTCCCTAGAGTGTCTGTTGGTTGTAAGAATAATGGATGATTGTGATCGATTGTTGGGAAACTCGTGGTACCAATACCCAAATTACTATTTCCTGTGGTAGGAGGAACAGGTACACCACTCGAGGGACTTGACTCATGTCCAATTGCCATCTTCTAGCAGCAACGAAATCGCAGAACAACTGTAGTGAATAATTATGAGAAATTTTCGCTCAATTCACAAACCCTAGCTCCTTCTAGCTCAGACGAACTCTAAAACGATTCAACTAGAATTTGTTGAATCGAAGTTTCTGAGAAGACTGGGGAGAAACTGGTGCTGCAATGTAGATCTACGCAGGTGGCTCTGATACCATGTTAGCTACCATATCTACCAACGAGAGAGAGAGAGAGAGAGAGAGAGAGAGAGAGAGAGAGAGAGAGAAAGGGAGAGAGAGAGAGAGAATTTGAAAGAGAAGAAGAACATATCGAGATAAATAAAATTGGAATCATCTGTTGTTTCTATTCGTTGTGCACTATGTAAATATACAGTAAATAACTACCAACTAACAACCATAAATGACTTCTAACTACCAAACCATACATTTAACATCCTAACTATACACTCTACAATTAAATCAACAAGCTAATATGGTTAGTCATGAGCTTGTATCTAGTTTATCCAACAAGCCTTCATCTATAATTTTGTGTAATCGATTGATAAAAACTAAAAAATTGTTCATAAATTTTATTTCCTCTCCAAATCAAACTTAAAAATCTCAGTCATATACAAAAAGCATGAATTTAACTATATATATATATATATATATATATATATATATATATATATATATATATATATATATTATATTGTAGTGTGAATTGTATTTACACTATCGATGTACTTTTGGCTTTATAGCAAGTTACATGCAGTTTTTTCAATTTACTAATGTCACTCATCATTCATGAACGATGCCTACAATTATCGTTTAGGTGAGTTAATATGTAAAAATTATTTGACGCGTTCAGGATTTAGAAGTTAAACTCATAAATTATAGCAGAACGGTTGTATGACTATCACAGTGCCACCTCCTCCACAATTATTAATACTGAAAATATGAGCTAATATTTAATTTGGACTAAGTCCTCGATTAGTTAATCGCTTATAAATAGTGTATGTACTACTAGGTTAACATATTCACAAAACGTAAATGTATCAAGCATCACCCACTTTCTCATTCAACATCATCTTCATACTACATTTGATCCTCTTCACAAACTGTGCCACCCAAACCCATGGCGGAGGAGAAGCACCACCACCACCTCTTCCACCACAAGAACAAGGAGGAAGAAGGCGGCCCCACCGATTATGATAAGGAAATGAAACACCATAAGCATCTTGAGGAAATTGGTGAACTTGGCACTGCTGCTGCTGGTGTCTACGCCTTGGTAAATATAATGTTTTTATATACTTGAGATACAGTTTTCATAAAGTTATTTTCTTCTATTTAAATTGTATCTGATCATAAAAGATTATTTTTCCTGAAGTTTTTTCTGTCGTGAACGTGTTAGATTGGTCATCATCATGTGCTTATAATCTAAACAACAAGAATTATCGATAATATACGTCGTCTAACAAATGCAAAAAGGGTTTTTACTTGCCAATTATTATTTACTCTAATGCAAAAGATAACACAATTGCCAGATAGAATATATATTTTTTCTTTAATTTGTTGATATGTAAGAGAGGAGTGTGAAAAAGCGAAGAAAAACATAAAAGGATCATTTTGTAGAAGACAAGGACAGCTTACACGTTCTAGCAGAGACGGACCTAGGATTTGAAGGTGACGAGAAGCACATGAGCCGATTGTTCAACTAGTGGCCCCATCGGACTTTTGATCTTAATGATTCCAAGCAAAATATATGACCATTTTCAACACACATATATATCCAAAAAGTTTGCCGAGGTTAACGGCGGCCGGTGACCCCTCCACTCAATATATAGGTCCGTCGTTGGTTCGCAATTATAAATACAAGTTAAGTTAATTTACAACAATAGGTAGATCTCATATCAAGTTTGATATAGTAACATGTATTAAATTAGAGTAATAACGTTTCACTAATAGTATTTTTATAAAATGTGTATATAACTTAAAATTCTTTATAAAAGGATAATTTTTCAAAGGAATTGAAGTTTCTACCATTTATAATTATACAATGAAATGTAGTCATAGTTAAATCCTAATATTAGCCTAGCTATAGTAGTTTTAAGCGCCAACTCCCACCATCACGTATGTCACTCTACATATTTTATACTCCTTCTGTTGCAATTTATGTGAACTTGTTTGTTTGGACACGGAGTTTAAGAAAAAATAAGACTTTTTGAAGTTGTGGTCTTAAACAAGTCAAAAAAATGGTCCAGAGTATTTGGGTGGTAATAAAAGCTTCTCATTAAGGGTAGAATTGGAAGTTTAAGCTAAATTGTTTTCAAATTTAGAAAGGGGTCATTCTTTTTGGAACGGACTAAAAGGGAAATAGGTTCACATAAACTGGAACGGAGGGAGTAACTAATTTTTGAAATTTGTCTCTACGCCAATATTAACTTTTATTTGTAATTTTCCTATTGTTTTGTTGATAAACATTAATATAGCATGAGAAACATGAAGCAAAGAAAGATCCAGAGCATGCACACAAACACAAGATAGAGGAAGAGATAGCAGCTGCTGCTGCAGTTGGAGCTGGTGGATATGCATTTCATGAGCACCATGACAAGAAGGATGCTAAGAAAGAAGAAAAAGAAGCTGAGGGAGGAAAGCATCACCACCACCACCATTTCTAAATTACATTGGTTTTGGACGTTTAAATCTGCTGTGAATTGAGTTCCCTTTCCTGTATGGAGTATAATTGTGTTTTCCTACTGTAATGTTCTCTAGTGGATATATGCTTCCATAAATAATCATATGTGTTTTTGACTTTCCTCGCAATTCTCTGTTGAACTACGTACCTTGTATATAGTTGCTTTTTTGAGTGGCGTAATAATGGGTATGCCGCGCCTGTGTGCGCATTTTTTTTATCGTTTAACTAGTTAATACAATAATTTATAACTTATCAATTATACTAATAACGTAAAGAATTCTTTTTATAGACTTATATAACTATTAATTGGTCTAATTTAATTTGTTTCAGTACGTAGGTTCCGTTTTCAGGGAACTAGAGCTAGTTTGACTTACTATGAGCAGTTATTCAATAAGTGAGATGATAGTGTAATTGTTGTTTTGTGGCTTGGATTATTTCTTGTAGTTTTAGGAAACTCATAATCCCTATAGGTTTAGGAAAATCCATTGTCCTAATAGATTTGGGAAAGGAAAACCTATAGTCCTTGTCAAATTGGGAAACTTTTCTCTTATATGTTTGGGACCTTTTGGGATCAATATATAGGGGTTGTAGTTGGGAATCCTAGAGATTGTACTGTGCTTTTCTTCTCACTCATAGTGGAAAACTCTCTCTGCTTTTGCCCCGAGGATTAGGCTTAGCCAAACCTCATTAAATCTTGTGTTGATTTTTCCTCTCTATTTGCTTTGCGTGTGATTGTGTGCTAGTTAACCCACGATATACCGCAACAATTGGTATCAGAGCAAGGTTCGGGTTTCTACGTACAATCTATGGTTAAGGTGTCTTCAACATCTTCAACAAAGTACGAAGAAGAGAAATATGATGGGGGTTCTAGTTTCAGTCTGTGGAAGATTATGATGAAATCGTCCCTGGTGTTCCAAGGGTTATGGAAGGCAATTGATGAGGATTTTCCTGAAGAGATGAAAGAGACAGAGAAGGCAGACCCGAAAAAGAGGACTTTGAGTGCGATCTTCATGACCGTTACAAATAGCGTTCTTCGGGAAATTGCTCAAGAAACTTTTGCAGCAACGGCATGGAAGAAGCTGGAAGATCTGTATTCTAAGAAATCTCTAACATACCGCCTCTACCTGAAAAAGAGGTTATACAATCTCCACATGAATGAAGGAACACCTGTTAAAACACACATTGATGAGTTTAATTCAATTATAATGGACCTTAAGAGTGTGGATATCAAAATTGAGACTGAGGATCAAGCCTTGATTGTGTTATGTTCTTTACCACCGTCTTATGATATCTTTGCTGGTACGCTGCTATATGGGAAAGACAACATTTCACTAGAAGATGTTAGTAATGCACTAAAATCTAAAGAGTTGAAAAAGAGCTTTCCAGACAGTGGAATTGATGGCGGGGTCTTGTGATTAGAGGAAAAACACAACAAAAGGACTATAACCGGAAAAAGTCAACTTCTAGATTAAAGTCTACAGTAAGGAAGCAACCTTGTTATGAGTGTCGGGAGCAAGGTCACTACAAGAGAGATTGTTCAAAGCTGAAGGAGAAAAGAGGGAAGCAGAAAAAATAATTCGGCAAATATTGTTGACACTGGCAATAACTATGATGATGGTGACTATATAGGGGAAGTATGTGTTGTGAGTTCTAGTCATGGGCAGAATTCTTGGGTTCTTGATTCTGGTGCTATTTCCTCATATGTCCACACAAGAATTGGTTTGCAACTTACAAAAAAATGAGTGAGACTGTCTATATGGGAGATGATAATCCATTACCAGTAGAGGGGGTTCGTAACATCAAATTGAGAATGTTTGACGGAATTATCAGAAACATTGAGTGTTGGCATGTTCCTCGGATAAAGAGAAATTTAATTTCTCTTTCGACTTTGGATGATCAAGGGTATAAATTTCACTCCGAGAATGAAATACTTAAAGTGTGTAAAGGCTCCATGGTACTCGTGAAGGTAAAATACATTCAAAATTGTATCATCTTCAGGCCAGTATAGTTGAAGGGGAAGCTGTTGTAGCTTCTGGGAAAAGTGATCTGAATCAGTCTCAGTTGTGGCACTTGCGACTTGGCCATATGAGTGATAATGGATTGTCCTTGTTGAGTAAGAAGAATTTGCTGAATGGGTAAAAAAATCAAGTTTTGAATTTTTGTGAGAATTGTGTGTTTGGTAAACAGACAAGGGTAAAGTTCAACAAGAAGGCCGAGCACAAGACTAGAGACAAGTTAGATTATATACACTCTGACTTGTGGGGTCTAAACAGAGTTCCCTCCAAGAATGGTGCCAGGTATTTTATGACTTTAATTGATGATTACTCAAGGATGGTGTGGGTGTATTTTTCTGAAAACAAAAGATGATACATTTTGGACATTTGTTAAATGGAAGACAATGGTTGAGAGGCAGAGGGAAAGAAAAGTTAAGCATTTTCGAACTGACAATGGGTTGGAATTTTGCAATTATGAGTTCGGTAATTTCTGTAGCAGAGAGGGCATTGTTAGACACCACACTTGTGTTGGAACACCACAATAAAATGGTGTCGCAGAACGTGTAAATAGAAAGCTTTGTGATAGGGCACGGGGCATGCTTTCACACTCATGTGTTAGCAATGATTTTTGGGCTGAAGCAATCAATACAGCTTGTTATTTGATCAACGGATGTCCATCCACAACTATTGAGTTCAAAACTCCTTTTGAGGTATTGTCCGATTCACCTACTGATTATTCAAATTTAAGGATATTTGGTTGTCATGCTTATGCTCACGTGAGGGATGCAAAACTTGAGTCGAGGGCAAAGAAGTGAATATTTCTAGAGTATGCAACTGGAGAGAAAGGATATAGGTGGTGCACATATCAAAAGACTCCAGGGCTAATTATCAGTAGGGATGTAACATTCAATGAATTTGCCTCACTGGACAGTCAGAGGGAGAAGGCCATAGCAGAAACAGATCGTGGTGTCAGTAACCGCATAGAGCTAGAAATTGAATATCCACTAGCTCAGCCCAATAGTTCTAAAGTAGAGGAAGTGGAGGAGGTGAAAAACATTGATCAAGATGATAATGTTGATGCACCTGCACAACAACCCTATAGCATTGAAACAGGTAGAGAGAAGAGAGTGACCAATCCACCACAAAGGTTTGCAAAGGTAGCTGATGGTAATTTTCTTGGATATGCAAATTTTGTGGAATTTGCTTTGTCAGTTGTGGAGACCATTGATGTGCTTGAGCCTAATAGCTATAAAGAAGCTATTTCTAGTCCAGAAGCAGATCAATGGGTTGGTGCTATGAGTGAAGAGATTGAGTCTCTTCATAAGAATCAGACACGGAAGCCTGTTTCATTGCCAAAGGGACAGAAGGTACTAGGCTGCAAATGGATTTTCAAAACTGCATTCTTGCATTGTGAGTTGGATGAGCATATTTATATATGTCAACCCGAGGGATTCATTACTTATGTTAAGAAAAATCATGTTCGCTAGCTTAAGAAATCTTTATATGGTCTGAAACGGTCGCCTAGGCAGTGGTATAAAAGATCTGATACATTCATGATTTAAAATGCATTTTCTCGAAGTGCATATGATAGTTGTGTGTATTATAAAAAGCTTGAAGACGGTTCTAGTGTATATTTGTTCTTATATGTGGATGACATGCTCATTGCTGCTAAAAGCATGTCACATATTACCCGATTGAAGCAACTAGGTGAGTAGTTTGAGATGAAGGATTTAGGTGCTGCAAAGAAGATATTAGGGATGTAGATAACTCGAGGTAGAAGGTTTGAAAAGATAATGTTGTCCAACTGTCCTATATTTAGAAGTTACTCAAGAGATTTAATATGACATGTGCTTAATCCGTGTCTATTCCTTTTGCTTCCCATTTCATGTTGTCTTCAGAAATGTCACCAAAAATAGACGAGGAGATGGAGCATATGTCTAGTGTTCCATATTTGAGCATTGTAGGTAGCATTATGTATGCTATGGTATGCACTCGCCCTGACATTTCACATGATGTTAGTGTTGTGAGTAGAAACATGACGTGTCATGGTAAAGAACATTGGCAAGCGGTGAAGTAGATCTTGAGATACTTGAAGGGTACTGCAGATGTAGGCTTGACATTTTACAAAGACAAGTTGAGTGAATCCTTAGTTGGCTATGTCGATTCAGTTGGAAGGCGACTTTGCAGTCTGTCATTGCTTTATCTACCGCAGAAGCCGAGTATATGGCGATTACGGAAGCAGTTAAAGAGGCTATTTGGCTACAAGGCTTGGTAAGTGATCTTGGACTAGCTCAGAAGAAGACAAAAGTTTTTTGGGACAGTCAGAGTGCCATTCATCATACTAAGAATCAGATGCTTCATGAGCGCACGAAGCATGTTGAAGTCAGACATCACTTTATTCGAGACATTATATAAAAAGGGGTTGTTAATGTGGAGAAAGTGTCTACGCATGATAATTGAGCTGATATGATGACCAAGCCAGTCCCGGCCAACAAGTTTAGGCATTGCCTAAACTTGATTGGTGTGTGCAGTACTCAATAGAGCCCTCTCGAGGGCTGGGGGGAAGGTAGAGAGACGTTGTTCCTGTTGATGAAGAGAATTCAAGCCAAGAGGGAGATTTGTTATTTTGTGGCTTGAATTAATTCCTTGTATTTTTAGGAAACCCATAATCCCTAGAGGTTTAGGAAAATCCATTGTCCTAATAGATTTGGGAAAGGAAAACCTATAGTCCTTGTCAAATTGGGAAACATTTCTCTTATATGTTTTGGATCTTTTGGGATCTATATATAGGGGTTGTAGTTGGGGATCCTAGAGATTTTACTGTGCTTTTCATCTCATTCATAGTGGAAAACTCTCCCTGCTTTTGCCCCGAGGATTAGGCTTAGCCGAACCTCGTTAAATGTTGTGTTGATTTTTCTTCTCTATTTGCTTTGTGTGTGATTGTATGCTAGTTAAGCCACGATATTTCGCAACAATAATTTTCTTTTTACAAATACAAAAACTAAACTCATTAATACAACTATCAATCTTTTTGGTTTCTTTGTGAATGAACGGAGATGAATTGCTAATGTAATGCTCTTTTTCCTCAACTCTTTCCAATCAACATCGGGAATTATAACTAGTTAT